TCTTGCTTCCTGCCGAGACCTATATATATATATATATATATATATATATATATATATATATATATATATATATATATATATATATATATATATATATATATATATATATATATATATATATATATATTTATATATATATTTATATATATATATATATATATATATACATATATATACATACATATATATATATATATATATATTTTATATATATATATATAAATATATATATATATATATATATATATATTTATATATATATATATATATATATACATATATAAACATACATATATATATATATTTTATATATATATATATAAATATATATATATATATATATATATATATATATATATATATATATATATATATATATATATATATATATATATATATATATATATATATATATATATATATATATATATATATATATATAGTTAATCCTGCTGCCCCATAATTTTTAAATTTTAGAGTAGAGGAGCCTGACTTTTTTTTGGTGAGGATTACTTCAATCTAAAAACTGGGCAAAGTTTGAGCTTAATTGGACTATGTTTAGTGGTAGCGGATTTAAATTAAAGTATACCATTTAGGAGCAAAATTGAAGTTTTCCAATTTTTAGTATATAAATCTAAGACAAATTTAGGGATGACCTAAGATTTTTTACTTTATTCTGATTTAAAGAAACTTTTGGTATAACAAGATTAGGATAAATAAGTTTAAATTTACATATGCTATTTGGCGAGGACCAATAGAAGATTGGGTGGAATCACCTTTTTCACACAACTTAAATTTTTTTTTTCAGTTAAATCTTTCATTTTCGGTGAAATGGTATCCCTGTTGAGAACTACTACAATGAAACTTTTTTTGGTCAAGCTCTGGTGTTTTCCTGGTTGACCTGCGGGCGACTGAAATAGTTTTTTTTCTCATTTGAGTCGTCCACTATAATAAACAGTAGTCTGGTATAATAGTTTTTTTTTGTATTTTTTCTCAGGTAAAAATACTGAAGATAAAAAATTTAAACGTTTGACTACTAAAAAATGTCTAATAAGAAACAGTTTATATTAAAAGTAAGTTACTTAATAAAAAAAAGTGAAACGTTATAACCTGTTAAAAAACATTGTTAAGTAACTTATCTCTTTACCAATATTTCTTTGTAACTTTATTACAAAGAGATATTGGTAAGGAGATCAGAATAAATACAACTTTTAAAGATTGTCATTGTATACATATTTAAATATGTGTACAGCATAACAAAATCTAATGTGTGTAAAATATAAATAATTAAATTAAAACTGGAAGAAATAGACAATCCCAGCAGAATTTAATATAGATTCATTTGTTTTCTCATAATTTTTTAGTGATATTACTTTATTAACAATCTTTTACCTTTATTTTTCCTCTAACTTGTTATAAAAGAGGGATACTTGAGCCAATTTCTCAGTGAGGTACCACATGTGATTGCTAAAAGCTTTTATAGCACCATTAGCAATAGTTAAATCAATAGCTTAATACTCAAATAATAATTGATAAGATATAAATCAGTAGTAGGAGCTGCTGAAGATATGCATGTTTTTAGTCACCACGGATGACTAAAAACATCCATATATAACAAATATAATATAACAAATTACAAGTTTTTGTTCAACAGTACAAGTTTTATTGAGTATAACAATTTTGGCATCCACCTTGTATTGTGCAAAGCGCCTGGTCTATTAAATCCAGAGGAAACCATGTTTTACCCATTATTTAGATACAACAATGTTAATTAAATGAATTCTCTATAATTACCTCTGTCAAAATTTGACTCATTGTTTCTTGGCAAAGATTAATAATGAGATCTTTTTTGTTTATTAAAGACTGTGAGGGATTTGAAGGATGTCAAGGTCTTTAATTGTTTGGCAAATCAGATGTTCAAAGTTTTTCTTAAATCTAAGAACCAAATAATGCAGTTATTATTTTATAAATTATAATACTGATGTAAGTTTAATTTTAAATAATGAAGGGATCCCCAAGCGCCGAGACAAGTTGTGTTCATATCAAAGATAAACATTAAAAAATAAGTTAAATGTTAATTAAACCTTCCAAAACAAATTATTGAATGAGATATTAACAAAGCATTTGCTGTTTTGCCATTATACTTCTGGTTGAGAGCCTAATTTTAGGCTCTCAAATCTGCAAGTTTTTTCTGTTAAAAAAAAACATCTGGTTTCAATAATAGATTTCTCTCACTACAGAGTTTTTTAAACAGTTCAGTTTTACATAATCAGATTGGGTTTTTCCCTTTAAAAATAGTCTGCGGTGGTTATAAAAATTGTTCACTGTAGCATATTTTTGTTTTTTGTTCAACGTATTGTGAAGTGTTTAAGTTAAAATAAACTACCTTAATAAAAATAGTAATTAATTGAAGCGAACTTATTACTTTTATTAAAAAATACAGCAAAGTATATGTTTTCTTTTACAATATGCAATTTATTTGTACTATTTATCACTAAATCATAAAAATAAAACAGTATTTTTGTGATTGAGTTTATATTTTATATTAATTTATAATTATTAATTATTATTTATATTTTCTATTAATTTATACTTATAGTTCAAAATACCGTTTTTAAAATGTAAAATTTTAAAATGATCTTATATTTATTATATTGATATTAAAAAATTGAATCTTATATTTTCATTTAACTGCAAAAGGGAAACCCCAAACATACTCTACATATTTAACTCAATTTAGGTTTTTTAAAAAAACTTTTTTTATTGATGTCAAATATCAAATACAAAAACGCATTAATCAGACTGGATTAAAAAATTATTAATTATTGTCAAAGAGCCAGATTTTTTCTTAGTGAGAAACAAAATGGCGTTAAAAATTAAAAGCTTTTTGTTAATATCTCATTCAATAATTTGTTTTGGAAGGTTTAATTAACATTTAACTTATTTTCTAATGTTTATCTTTGGTATGAACACAACTTGTCTCGACCCTTGGGGGTTCCTTTAAATAATAATGAAATATTTAAGTTAATAACTTTTCAAAGCATTGTAACCTTAAGATTTTAAGACACCTTAGTTCCTTACTTCCCTATCAAAAGATAATTTATTATTAAAAAATATCAATAACTTAGGGTAAATTTAGAATATTATGTGGTATAAACACAGTTGTGCCAGTTTTCAAAGTTTCTTTCTGAAAATACTGCTTAGTTTCATAACTACTTCCAAGTTCATTTACATCATGATGAAGACAAACTTCATCTGTTTCCATTAATGTTTTGTTAGAATATCTCAAGATATTTGGTTGTTCTTTTTTTTTTATCAATTCTTTCTTTTTCAGCAACTTTTCTGTCATGATTCATGTATTTTTTTTCAGGCTATGTTTAAGATCAACTAAGCCTATGGATACTTTCCTATCAGTAATCATGCTGACCAGAAACTGTTTATCCTCTACATCAACTAATCTATCTCATGGTCAGAAATTCATTGTATTTTTTAACTTGTTCTTAATTTTTTAGGTATTCTTGTCAGTGTTTTAATGGATACAGTCAATTTTTAGCAGGCTTTTTAACTCATTAAATACGGGAGGCTGAATAAGTGTGAGTTGGCATATGTGCGAACTGGCTTAAGTGCGAAGCGTTGCAAAAACTGGCATACGTGCAAACTAGCATATGTGTGAATTGGCATTAGAGCGCCAAAAGGTTTTGCAAACATTGGCAAAAGTGCAAAGCAGTTGCAAAAACTGGCACAAGTGCGAACTGGCGTAAATGCGCCTAACAAATTTGCAAACATTGGCATAAGTGCGAACTGGCATATGTGGGCCGAACAAATTTGCAAACATTAGCATAAGTGCGAATTGGCATAGGTGTAAAGCAGTTGCAAAAACTGGCACAAGTGACATAAGTGTGAATTAGCATAAGTGTGCCGATTCGCACTCATGCCAATGTTTGCAAATTTGTTTGGCAAACTTATGCCAATTCGCACTTATGCCAGTTTGCACTTGTGCCAGTATTTGCAACTGCTTTGCGCTTATGCCAGTTTGCACTTATGACAGTTCGCACTTATGATATTCATGCTTATTTAGTTTTCCCATTAAATAATGTCATGATTTCTTCTGCTGTTTTATTTGGTTCAATTGTTTTATTTTTGCTTAATTATATAATGGTAGTGTTGATTTAAATGTTTCATTTGCGCCCTCTTATAGTTTTTGCGGTGAAGTGTGCAAGAAAACACAAAAGCTGACGAGCAGTTGTCAGCCTAGATCCTGACAAGCAGCTGTCAGCTTAGATCCTTGCATATTTTCATCAGATTTAATAGTGATAGTTTCTAGTATGAAATATTTTGAACTTTTGATTAAGCCATTTTTACCCACCTAACTTGTCAATATTTAAATTTTTATATACTATCTAAAAAAAAGTTTAAAATAAGTTATTAATGTGCCTGTAAAATTGCCACTAACAACAGCACAAAAAAAAAAAAAGAGCCAATTTTGGATAAAACCGTTTAATTAAAAGAAATTTTTTTTCAGTTTTTCTGTATAATAAAAAATAATATAAGGGAAGAAGAACATTAATATAATGCCTGGTAGTTTCAATTTCTCCTGATTATAGACAAATTTGAAAAAATTGTGTCAATCTTGAAACTTCAATTGAAATATTCAACCACTAAAAATTGTCCAATTTTCCTAAATTTCATTTAAAATTCTTACTATTTATTATGAACCTCACCTCTAAAAAATAGTCAGGCTTAATCAGAGCATAAATGGTTCAGCTGGATTACCCTAATATATATATATATATATATATATATATATATATATATATATATATATATATATATATATATATATATATATATATATATATATATATATATATATATATATATATTGAGTAGTTTATATAACTTAAATAAAGTTTGTTATTAAACTTGTTTCCCACTTTTCATATTTATTTAATTTTTTTTTTTTTGAATTTTTTATTTTGTTAAGTTTTATTTCCAACTAGCTTCGATATGATTCACAAAACTCTTTACCTGCAAACTCATCAGAACATCCCAACTTATATACATTGGAACCTGAAGAAATCAAACCATCATTCGGTCGTTCAACTAGCTCTGATGTTTTTCAGCCTATACAAAATGATGAACCTGTATCAAATTTGTTACGCATGCGCAATAATAGCTCACTTGGAAATTCAGACCCATCATTATCACTTAGTGCTGTGAGAATAATATTTTAATTGCTCTTTTTGTTGCTTGCTGTGGAGCAATGTTTTTCAAATTTTTTGTTTATACTTATATTTATATGAGTTATGTGACTTTTAATCAACCCTTAGGATTATATAATATATTTTTATAAGAATAATAAGTTATAGTCAATAATAATAATGATGAAGATAACAATAGCAATAACAATAACAACAACAACAACTACAACAACAACTACAACAGCTACAATAACAACAATAATAATAATAGTAATAATTAATAACACTAGTTAAAATAATAATAAAAGTAAAGTAATAAATAGTTATTTACTTTATTAATGATCTCTTTTTGCTACTTAATTATATAAATATTAAATTAAATTTTTTTGGTTTAGTAAATACTCTCATAACAAATTATGCAATGCAGAAAAGAAGTATGATGGTATTTTTCAATACCATGATATTTTATTATTAACAATACAATAATCATGGTATTTTCCTTCATGAAATTATAATTTTCGAACGTAATTGGCACTTTTCAGTAGATTTTACCACATTATCTTGTCATTTTACCTCGTGAATTTTGATACCACTTGAACTTTGTCATTTTTAAATGCAAATGGTGTTATACAACAGGAACAATATTTAATTAATATTTTTTCAAAGGACTGAATGATCACATGCATTGACTGAGCTAATTAGGGAGAGCATGCAGGGAGTGTATATACATTGTGGTAAAGGTTGGCATTAACTCTGAGTTGATATATGTACACTCCTCCCATGTCCTCCCTATTTGTCAGTTTATATATGTACACTATCTGCATGTTCTCTATTTATTTCAGTCATGGTTTCTTTCACTCCTTGTATATTTCCCTATTTAAATCAGACAATATGTGTACAAAAATAAAAACAAAAAACATAAAGAAAAAAAATAATAAATTAAAATGGAATAAATGATAAAAAATGTAAACAAACTTTTAAAAAATGTAAACAAAGCTTTACAAATAGATGAGCAGTTTTTTAAAATTAATTAATTTTAAAAGTAAATTTAATTACTTTAAATGCATGGTTAAGGTTAAATAAGGTTAAACTTAATTACTTTAAATGCGATGGCTTTAGCATATCATTGTTGTCATTATGTAACTTTATTACTAAAATTAATATTACTAAATATTATTATAATGTTTATTACTAAAATTAATATCACTAAATAATATTAAAATGTTTAGTAATAAAATTAATATCACTGAATATTATTAAAATGTTTATTAATAAAATTAATATCACTGAATATTATTAAAATGTTTATTAATAAAATTAATATCACTGAATATTATTAAAATGTTTATTAATAAAATTAATATCACTGAATATTATTAAAATGTTTATTAATAAAATTAATATCATTAAATATTATTAAAATGTTTATTTTTAAAATTAATATCATTATATAATATTAAAATGTTTATTATTAAAATTAATATCACTAAATAATATTAAAATGTTTATTAATAAAATTAATATCACTAAATATTATTAAAATGTTTATTATTAAAATTAATATCACTAAATAATATTAAAATGTTTATTAATAAAATTAATATCACTAAATATTATTAAAATGTTTGTTATTAAAATTAATATCACTAAAAAATATTAAAATGTTCATTACTAAAATTAATATCAATAAATATTTTTAAAATGCTTATTAAAATTAATATCACATGATAATAACAATAAATAATAATATTAATAGTAACAATATTAATTATAGAAATGATATATAAATAACACTAATTTGTATGTTATAGTTGTATGTAATAATTCTATTTTACATTAGGAATATTTTTTATAAAAATAATGAGACAAGGGTTTGACAAGAACTTAACAAATTTTTATAAATTTTAAATTTTTAAGAATTAATATTTTACAGCACAATATTGTAATGTGCAAAACATACAAAACTTGCCAAGTTTTGTGTTTAAGTGTTCATAAAATGTAAAGTACATATTTGGAAAACATATATGTTATCCAAGTTTTATTTTTTATATTTGTATCTTTTAAGATTGCTATACTGTATACACTACTATTTGCAGGAGTCAAAATAGGTGTAGGTTATCAGTACCCCTATGGCATTTCTCATAATTCGCTCAATAAGGGCAACCAATCACTGTTCATTTTGTTAGAAAAAATAATAAAGGTTACTTACCCACCTCAAACTTATTTCAAAGAAGATATAGGGGGCGCTGATGTTTATCACTTGTTTCAACCCCTACTATATATATATATATATATTATATATATATATATATATATATATATATATATATATATATATATATATATATATATATATATATATATATATATATATATATATATATATATATATATATATATATATATATATATATATATATATATATATATATATATATATATATATATATGTAAGACCTTTGTATCAACTTATTTTTGCCAACCTGATGCCGACCTGTAAAAGATTGAGGTCGGTAAATTATTGCCGACCTCGTTTTTCCTAATTCTAAGGATTTATATATATATATATATATATATATATATATATATATATATATATATATATATATATATATATATATATATATATATATATATATATATATAAACACACACCACACATATATATTTATACATATGTGTGCATATATATATATATATACATATATATATATATATATATATATATATATATATATATATATATATATATATATATATATATATATATACACACACATATATATTTATACATATGTATATATATATATATATATACACATATATTTATACATATGTATATATATATATATATATATATAAATATATAAGTATATATATATATATATATAAATATATATGTATTTATATATATGTTTGTATATATATACATATATATTCATATATTTAGTTATGGCCAAAAAGATCTGACCGCTCATAGTAATTAAAATGCTAAGTATCTATCCTGGCAACTCACTAGATAATCACATGTTGCTTAGCTGATTATGTAGTTATTGTGTTGCATACAAATAGAAAAACGTTTTTTATGCTCTATATACATTTAAATCATGTGTAATTCAATCATTATTATCTTAGAGTATGGCTACAACATCACACGCTAACTGTGCACATTTTAAATTATATAACTGAAGATGGCAAGTCTAAACAATATAATTGCTGCATATATTGAATAAGACAACTGGTTATGATATCGTTCACCACATCAAGTCTTCAGACATGTCGAAGGTGTCTAATTTTTAGCAATATTTTTTTGGAATGCAATCACTGTTGACTGTCATGTTAGTTTAACTCTTTTACAACAAGATGAGACTATCAACTTTAAAAACTGTTTAGAAGAACAATTGGTTCTGAATTAAAATTTTAAATGAGATGGCTCTAAGATAAATTAATTAGTGTTCTTGCTGTGTGGCTATGCAATTTATCCAATTTAAACTCCATTAAAAACTAGGGTAAAGTTGAAAGCAGAAGTTTTTATCAGAACCCAATCAAACTAGAAATCAAAAAGGCTATAATCAAAGTAAGGTGTAAAATTTAGCCTGGATATTGTGAACCTCCTGTTGTCTCAACAGCACGAAGAGTAGAGGCGAGTTCTAAAAAATCTTTAGTAATTAATTTTATAAAAATATAATGTAACTGCAACTTCTTTATCCCTTTATGTTCATGTATGTTGTCTTTTGAATTAAAATGTTTTCAAGTAATAAATGTTAATAAACTAGTAATAACACTACAATAGTTTAAAACATAAAAAAGTTACAAAAATAGTTTTTTGCTGTAAATATTGGATTGTCTGATATTTTTGGCCATAACCCTCTTCCCCTAGAAATATGTCTTCACAAATACATTTTTGTGCCAACTTAAACCAGCAGTAACTGATATATTGTTTTTTATTTTTTTTAATTTTAGGGAGAACAACTTTTATCAAGACGTTTTAGGTATGTTTTATTTTTTTAATTTAATATTTTTAAATAAAGATAAAAAAGATTAGGGATTTAATTTTAATTAGATTAAAGATCTAATTAAAATTGCTAAACTAAACAAATTGATACAAACTGAATGAGTAAGTTTTTGGAAACAACTTTTAGGAGAAGCAGATGTTTTCTGTTGACTAAACATGTACCATTATTTATTTAGTAGGCAGGGATAGATATAAACTTGTATTACATTAAAGGGTAAACAGATTCTATCTGTTGACCAGCCTCGCATTTTCATCTATTAGGCTGGCACAGATGTATTATTAATACATTGTTTCCAGTTTAGGATGTTGAATGCTGGATCTTCTTGACTCAATGCATGTGTTTTGCTTGTGCCTCTGTTTTTATGACTAGGCAACTGATTGTATTATCTCCTAATGAGGGTGCAGCTCTAAAACTTAGTTTTATGGTTCTGAGGCCAGCTGGTAGTCAGGTTTCTTGAACTGTGTGGTAGCTCTCAGAGAGGCTGATTCCATCAACAGCTGAAAAATATCAAAGTATTAACAGTGTCATGTTGCGCATGGATGGTGTCTCTGTTTGTACTTGGAGGCCTTTGTTACAGCTTAGAGTTTATTAATAGTAATGAGGCAATTGCTTGGGCTATTAAACAGTGTACTAAGTACCATCTATGCTTCAAGTCAAGTAACAAATTTAAAAATGAATAAAGTAACAAAAACTATAAAACACAAAAAACCATTGCCATTACCAAATTCTCTAAACCTATCATTCACTAATATTCATGGTCTTCTTCTTCTGTTTTTCACTAATATTCATGGTCTTTTTCTTCTGTTGAGTCTCATTTTTTTCAAAGTTCACCAGACCTACTTGCTCTTTGTGAGACTAATTTGAGTTCAGCTGTCTCATCTTGTGATCTTAGTGTTGATGGTTATCTTACTTTAATTTGTAAAGACTCTAATAGTCTCATGCTTGGCCTGGGCATTTACATTTGTAAGAGTTCACCCATTTGTTGAGAAACTAGGTTTGAATCCACAGACTACTCTTTTATGTGCTTTCGTTTAGCACCACTTCACTCTATCACCTTTCTCTTTGTTCTATATCACTCTCCTTCATCTCAAGACTGCACCCTTCTTGATGTTATTTCTGATCATATTGACCAAGCCATCTCTTTTTATCCATCAGCCAATATTGTTGTTGTTAGTGGCTTTAATTCTCATCACACTGAATGACTTGTCCCTAGTATCAGTGACTCTGCAGGCATTAAAGCCCACAACTTTTGCCTATCTTAATCCCTAACTCAAATAATCAACTTTCCAACTTGCTTTCCAGACAACCCGAATCATTTACCTTCTCTACTCGACTTATGTCTTGTTTCTGATCCTAGTCAGTGCTCAGTTTCTCCACATTCACTCTTAGGTGCTTCTGATCAAAGTTTGATTTCTCTAAAACTATTATCTAATTCTTCTTCATCATTTAAATCCCCCTATCATCTTACTTCTTACAACTACCTTAAAGCTAACTGGGACTCTTTCTGTGATTTTCTTTGTGATGGCCCTTGGGCAGAAATCTTTTGTCTTCCTGTTGCCAAATGTGCTTCTTACATAACTTTGTGGATTTAGGCTGGCATGGAATCTTTTATTCCCTCTTGATGATTCCAGGTCAAGTCTCATTCTTCTCCATCATTTTCTTCACATTGTGCTGCTGCAATTGCCAATCGAAACCGTTACTTCCATATCTATCAGCAAAACAATTCTCCAGAAAACAGATGTCTGTTTATTACTGCTATAAACCATTGTAAAAAGGTTTTGTCTAATGCCAAAGCCCACTATTCTCAGATCAGGAAATCTCGTATTTCATCACAAAAATTAGGTTCTTGTGACTTAATCTGTAATTCCACCTCTCTTGTATGGTTCAGACTTTGCCACCCCACCTAAAGACAAAGCTGAATTGTTTGCTAAAAACTTTTCATCAAAATTATCTTTTGATTCAACTAGTTGTGTTCTACCTGATATAGCCATCAAACAGGTTGATCCATTGTTTAATATTTGTATCACTTCAGCTTCTGTATCTTAAGTGATTTCCTGCTTCGACTCTTCTACAGCTTGTTACCTGGACAACATACCTGTTATAGTCTTGCAGAAGTGTTCTCCGCAGCTGTAGTCTATACTTTCAAAACTATTTAACAAGTGAGTTCAACCATTATCGCATTGTCGTATTGTTGCTTCTCTTTTCTACAAATACTATAATGAGCATTGCTCTAAAGAGCTAGCCTCTCTTGTGCCATCTACTAAAATTCATTCTCGTGTTACTCGTCATTCAATTAAGTCTCGTCCTTTTTCTGTTACTGTTCCTAAGTGCTCCAAAAACTCTTATTCGTCTAGATTTTTTCTCGAACATCAGTTCTTTGGAATTCGCTTCCTTCATCTTGCTTTCCTGATTCATATAATTTGTAATCTTTTAAGTCGTTCGTTAATCGTTATCTTGCTCTACAATTTTCATCTTTTCTCTTCTAGTAAATTCCAACACTAATTAGTGTTTGCTTGCAGCCTTGTTGGAATCAAATATGTTTAAAAAAAAAAAAAAAAAAACATTGTTACTTGTTTAGGACGATAAAGAGTACACAAAAAAGATTTTTGCCCACCTAAACTTTGCCACCTTTTTTTGTTACTTTTCTTATTTGTGAACCATATTTTTCTAATTTAAAAAGTATAAAAATTGCACTGAAATAGTTCCAAGCAAGTTTTTATTAAAATGATTTATTATTTTATAGACTCTTATTTCACATCAAAACATTCCTTTGTTATTCTTCTTTGGAAAATAATTTTTCTAAATTGAAAAGTTTAAAAGTTGCACTGAAATAGCTCCAAGTGAGAAAGTAATTAAAAAAAAGATTTTAATTATTAAAACTTGAATAAATGAGTTTGATACTTTTAAAACTGTTTTTGTGTCACATAATTATAATTTAAAAGAGAAAATTTTTATTACTGTTTATTAAAAAAGATTTTGAATAAGCACTTAAATATTATTTTCACTTTAAGTTGTATTTTAGATATTAAATTAAAAACGCAAAAATAATAATACTGTGTATTTAAAATTGTATTTGATTTTTAAAAAGTTTTAAATTAAAAGTATAAATATTTGTGTACGTACTTTTTTAAATATTTGTGTACATACTTTTTCTAAATATTTGTGTATGTACTTTTTCTAAATATTTGTGATTTGTGTACGTACTTTTTCTAAATATTCGTGTACGTACTTTTTTTTAAATATTTGTGGTCTTAAGAGTAATTTTTTATTCATAATATCTTGCAAGATCATCAGATTTTTGATATAGCTGATTGCAACACCTGATGGTGTTGCAATCAGCTATGTTAAAAATAAAATACATTTATGATTGCTTTTTTTACTGTTACATCTAGTGTTTTTTTTTAGTATATGTAACATTAGTCCACGTCGTCCTCGCACTCTTTTACCACATTCTCCTTCTCCTCCTCGTGCATTATCGCCTGTTGGGAACGGTAATATATTTTAATAATTGTTAAAAAATCTTTTTTGTATGATAACGCTATATAAAATTAAAAGTCTGCAACTGTAATTGTTGATTAAAGACCAAAGAGAAAAAGAAAAGAAAGTTTTTTCCTATCTAAAAGCAATTTGCAAGTACAAATGCAACTTTCAATTTTAAATATTTCAATTAAAAATATTTTTGTCATATGCTGATTATTCCGTATTTTCAGAAAATGTTTTTATTTGTTTTAGACTATTCAAAGAATTTATCTTCTAGCACTTTGCATGCACCAATACCAATTTTACATGCAAATAATAGAAGGTGCAATGTTTATATTGATTTCATTGTTGTTGTTTTTTCTTCATGTCTCAAGCTTATTTTATGTACCCTTTCCCTCCTAAAGTTTTAATGAATGTGCAGTTACTGAAAACCATTGAGGAGGATATAAAAACCAGGCTTGCGCAACCCCTAAATGTTATTCAGTTTTGTTCATTAAAAAAAAAATGTTTTCTCATGTAGTAGAACTTTTTTCTACCATATAATTAATATATACATACATATAAATAAATAAATATATATATATATATATATATATATAATATATATATTATATATATATATTTATATATATATATATATATATATATATATATATATATATATATATATATATATATATATATATATATATATATATATATATATATACATATATATATATATATATATATATATATATATATATATATATGAATATATCAGCCCTCAGAATTATGGTCAGCATTTGGCTGACCTAGAAATGTTAGAGGTCGGCAAAAAATCACCAACTTTAATTTTTAGAAATGTTAGAGGTTGGCAAATAATTGCCAACTTTAATTTTTCCCAATTCTGAGGACTAATAAACTCCTGATGATCTATGATATTCGATGTATGTTATGATCCAAACTTAATAAAATAAATAAAATTGAAAAATAAAAAACTACTGTTTTAATTAAGTTAATAAAATTTAGTTTTCAAAGTGGGCGAAGGTGGTCAGTTGCTTCATCAGGTTACAGTACAAATACCCAGTGTTCATCTGAGTTTTCTGTAAGTTTATTATTGATATAATATTTTATTTTGTGTCTATAACAATTTTTAATTTATTTTGAAACTGAAAAAAAAATTTTTGAAAAATTAAAGATTTTTTTTAACCTATATATTTTATTTAAGTCTCAAACTTCTTCACAAGAGAAACTCAACTTATTGGTATGTTGAATTTTAATTTTTTTAATTTTTTTTCTTGATAAAATTTGAAATTCTAGTATTCCGTATTTGAAAACCACATAAGATATAAAATTTTATATATTTGAGAACTTAGAACTAAAAAGTTGTGTCTTTGATTTAAGAATTTATCTCACATAAAGTGAAGTTATTACAAAAGCATAACTTAAAACTTTTTTTTTTTTTGAATCAGATGTTTGATGATAATGCTTATGCTCGGCAACAAAGGTTAGATTTTTTTTAGATTTTTACTAAGGAAAAAAAAAAACCTCTCATGAAATTCAATTCAATATAGACATACCATCCTCTGCATTTCTTTTAAACTTAATTAAATGGATATATATATAGTATATATATACTATATATATAATATATATATATATATATATATATATATATATTATATATATATATATATATATATATATATAGTCTTGCATGGTAGTCACAAAGTTTTTCCCATAAACTGTTGTTTTAAAGAGCGCGTTAATAAGCCTGACCAGAAAATGTTTTTTTTTTTTTTTTAAATGATAGACTACCTGCCCAAACCAAACCCTCAGTCGATGTAGCAGCAATCCTATGCGAGTCAGGCTATGTAGCAGCACTACCTTGCGAGTCAGGCTATTTGTCAGTCAATGTAGCAGCACTCCCTTGCAAGTCAGGCTATTTGTCAGTTGATGTAGCAGCACTCCAATGCGAGTCAGGCTATAAGATAGTGGATGTAGCAACACTCCCTTGTAGCAGCAGGCTATAAGATAGTCGATGTAGCAACATTTACACATGTTTAAAACATTTTTTTTAATAAAACAAAAACAAAAACACCACTAATTAAAAAAAAACTTTCTAGTCATTATTATTGCGTTTTTTTTTTAAAACAATAAAATTTAATGTACTTTCGCATTAATTTAATTGCTTTGTCATTTCGACAACAATAAAATGCAGCTTAAGAGACAAGGTAAAAAAATTGTAGTCAAAAGAGACTTTTTTTTACCACAAAAGTCTCTTTCGACTACACTATAAGGATATATATATATATATATATATATATATATATATATATATATATATATATATATATATATATATATATATATATATATATATATATATATATATATATATATATATATATAATATTTATAACAAGTATATACAGGAATCTTTTATGTATATTTACTGTAATGTAATATTTAATTAACCTAATCAATGTTAATCAACTCTTCTGTGATAATTTCTCTAAATCTAATATAGTTCACTCTCTGAGCCTATCCATAAAAATTTCAGTTAATAAATGTACACCGCTTTGCTGCTCATAAAAGAGTAAAACAAAAAATTATTAAAGTAAAATGATCCAATTGTTTTTATGATTATTTATTTTTTAAATTTATTTCTGCAAGAAGTTTCACTTTTTTAGTACAACTTCATTTTGAATAAATACTGATATTATTATCAGATTTTTCAACAAATATTTAATTGTGAGTTAATTTTCAAATTAATCATAAATTTTTATTAAATTATTTTTTCCACTGCAGTATTTAATATGTAATATAATATTTTAAAATGTTAAAAAATTTTTTTTTTTTATGTTTTTATATAGCTTATATTTCCTTGCTAGTCATGATAGTACATTTAGTGATGTTGATGATGAAATTTCAAGTGCTCGTTCACCAAAGCCATTCCGAGGAAGATCTAGAAGCTTAAGGTAGTATTATTAATTAATATTAGTATTAAGTAGTTATAAAAATTTGTAGTGTTAAGTATATGTTATTAATAATTAATTAATAGAAGCTTAAAGTAGTAAAGTATATTACTATTTTTGTCTGCATACTTTTATTTGTGTCCTAATTAAAAACATGTTTCGTATATGTGGACATTGAAATTTATATGTGCATATATCAAAATTTATAAGTGCATATATCAAAATTTATATGTGCATATATCAAAATTATTACTTTAAATATTTGTTAGATTGTTTATGTTAGGTATTTAAAAAATAATACAAAACTTATAAAAAGTGCTACCAAAGTGCTTTGATAAGTTATGCTGGTTATTTAAACTAAAATAAATATTTTTTAAGATATTGAAAAAATAGATTTTTATCTTCTATCTACTTTTTTAAATATCTAGTTTAATTTAAAAACAATCCACTAAACAATTATTAACATCAAACTAGGTTATTGTGAAAAATGTGAAAAAAATTTAGTGCTTTGCAGTAAAACATTAACACTGATGCTTGAGAAATCTACTACTGGTTTTTAATTTTAGTTATTACAATATATATATAATAAAATTTAATCAGTGTTATTGGAGAAATATGACACCAGAATTATTTGTTCAGATAGCAGTTTTATTCTCTTACTCTATAACTTAAGAATTAATTTAAACTAATATGTACTTGGATGGTTTTTAATAATAATAATAATTATGAAATAATGACAATGAATAATGATTATGAAATAATAACAATGAAATAATATTTATACATTTATTAATAATAATAGTATTAATAATAATAATATATTTACATTAATAATATTAGTAAAAATATGTAAAAATAATATGTAGGGTAAACAATCTATAGTTTGGCTGTATCTATGAATTTGCCATATTTATAACTTTCATAGTTTAAATTTGTTCTAATTTTTTTTTTTTTTTTTTTTTTTTTTACTGTGTTTTTAAAAGGACAAATGATTCCTATTTTTCTTTTAAACTTTTATCATTTATTAACATTACATTTAATCAACTTCTTTCAACTAATCTTTGATTTTAAAATTCACTATTGATTTTACAGCTAGATGTTGGTTTCATAAACTAATTACTACTAAGCAAATAGGTCTTAGCTCTATTTTTAGCCAGTATAAAATTTTTATATTATACTTCTATTCAATGTTACTTTATAATCATATTTTTGAAAGCTTCATTGTACTTTCACTATATAAACATATTTTTGAAACCTTAATTGTACTTTCACTTTATAATCATATTTTTGAAGGCTTCAGTTTACTTTCACTTTATAAAATAGTTATTAAAGCTTCATTGTACTTTCACTTTATAAAAATATTTTTGAAAGCTTGATTATACTTTCACTTTATAATCATATTTTTAAAGCTTCATTGTACATTCACTTCATAAACATATTTTCGAAAGCTTCAGTGTATGTTCATTTTATAATCATATTTTTGAAAGCTTTATTGTACTTTCGCTTTATAATCATATTTTTGAAAGCTTCAGTGTACTTTCACTTTAGATGCATGTCTAGATAAAGTGAAAGTTTTTTTTAATCTTTTTGATTTTTAGTAGATAAAAATTTTAAAAGTTAGTTTTTTTAATGTACGTTCAGTTCGCCAAGATTCTAGAAGGGTCCACTACAATTGATGGAGCATACAAATTTTTTTTTTTTTTTTAATTTGCAATTGGCCTCAACACAAACCTTGTTTAACAAGACTGCTGTGTGAAGAAATAGGTTGAATAGAAGTACTTGCAGAGGTGTAGGGTGGATTTGAACCTCTAAATTGCGAGTTAACTATTTTATAGAGATATGCCATGTATCTGGCTCGGCCCCGGTTTTTTCAGAATATATATGTGCCAGGGACCTGCCTCTCATTATTATGGCATTTTTCCAGAATACTCAGAATATATAGATGTGTCTGTTGCCTGGCTTTTGTTATTTCTGTTGGACTCGCAAAAAAAAGCCAGAAAACAGAGACATGTCAGGCACTTGGTACATGTCTAGTGTTTTACCGCTATTCTATACTATTTGCTTATGACGAAGCAATATGTTTATTGCAACCAAAAAAAAAACATTTTTGCATCCAAAAATTAGATCTCATTATAAAATAAAATATTTTTAAAAATTTTAACATTAAAAGATGGGAATATAAATTTCTAAATAATAGGTTATTCTGTGTTTTATCATTTGTAAACAGCAGGTTATTCTGTGTTTTATCATCAGTAAACAATAAGTTATACTGTGTTTTATCATCTGTAAACAATAGGTTATACTGTGTTTTATCATCTGTAGACAATAGTTTTATACTGCATTTGTATACTGTGTTTTATCATCTGTAAAACTTTGAAAGTATATTAGTAAGTAATTAAAAATTATAAAAAGATTTTTGGTTGAAAAACTTCTAGGACAAATTAATAGATCGTTTACCCTATTATAAATTAATAGATTTAATTAGTTTTTTTCAATTGTTTTTTTATCAGCCCAACAAGAAATGAAAATGAATTGTTCATACTAAATAAACTGTACATAGAAAGATTTCCCAAGGTAATCAACTTTTTATAGTACAAAAATATAGTATTTTATAAACATAACAGATAAACTTTATATACTTTGTATCTGTTTAATCAACTTTGTTTTTTGGTACTTTGGTACTAAAGTACATTTAGGGTACCTTATTGCACAAGAACCGTTTTCTAATTTTTTCTGAAAAAGGTGCAATCAAACAATCAAATTTTTAATCTCCTTATGAACTTAACAGTTTCAAGTTACTCCTCTTAACTTTTTGTTTTCAAAAAATGAGTAATACAAAGGTGATATGACAAGTTTTAAAACAAAATAATCATTAAAAGAAGAAAACTGAAAGTTTTATAACTTTTAAATGCTACTTAGGTGTAACAGTGCGGAATACACAATTGATATGACAAGTATTTTTAGGATTTGTATTAGGTGAAACAAGAGACAAAAGTTTTTTAAAATATTTATATTAAACTCCAAATTAACCAAAGGCATTAAATAGTCCTAATCATAAAATAATGAGAAAGCAATTGAATTTTTTTAGGATAAATCTATTTGAAACACTTTATGCTGAAAAGGTTTTCTTTTAAACAAATATTTTTTTTTTGTTGTTAAATACGCAATTTAAAAATGCATGTAAATATGAATTAAAAAGAATAAGATTTTTTAAAATAAAGTGAATTAGACCTTAAGTGTATTACAATTAACTTTTACAACTCAGAACACTGTAAAATACCTTGTAATGCTGTCAATTTGTACCAAATAGATCTTTGCATCTCAGGACGTTGTAAGGACATCATTTTTACCTCTGGACACCACAGGTAGTGTGAAAAAGAAAAGACAAAGGTAGCTTGAGTTAATTGTTACAGTTAATTGATATTTTAATTGTGCTATATAGACTTTTAATAAGCCTAATTAATAAAACAGAAATCAAATGCTATGACTTCTAGTAAACAAAAGTTTGCACTTTCTGTGCATCATTTGCTACTGTTTATATTCTCATGTTTTACAGCTCATACTTAAGTCGCCATTGTGAGAACAGAGTTTAGTAAATCACTAACAAAACTAACTATCACCTTGGTTAATTAAAAACTTTACTAGAAGATAATAAAATGATTTGGGTTCATAAAGAGACACAAACATGGTTTAATGCATTGAATTCAAGCAATCTAGCTTACTATTTTTTATTTTATATTAAAAAAAAAAACTTATGCATTTTAATTAATATTAAGTAAAAAAATTTGAAAAACTTTTATTAACTTATCTTATAAAGTAAAATAAAAATTAAAAAGCATTCTGTTTGTTTGAAATTTTTGATTTTTTTCAAATAATAGTTAGAAATTATATTAATAAAAAGATATTTGTATTTAGGCTAAACAACAAATGGAGGAGAATTTACGAGTGAGTTTTAATTTTATAATTAATTAAACTAGTTTTTGTTTATTTTCATATTATTATCTATATATATATATTTTTTAAAGCAAATAAAAACATAAGATTTACAATATTAAACAAAATTTATTCTTAATAATTTAGTTTTTATTAAAACAACTGTTTTTTCAGTGTGACAAAGTTGTAAGACACTTTTAGAAAAAAAAGCATATAAAATGTCTTTTAAATAAAATGCCTTTTATGAAAAAATCAACTGTGTTTTACTATTCTTTTGAATTACTTGTCTGGAAGTTAAAGAATCATACAACTTTCTTTTTTATGAGATCCCATGCATATGCAATGTTTGATTTCAAGTCAGCAATAAATCTATACAGTTTTTTGCCTTCAAACAATGTGTGACAGTCAATGCCGTGGCTACTGGATCCGAGCCTCTTCCCCAAAAAATAAAAAACCAATCATAAGGCCCCCAATATCTTTAAAAATTTCCATTAGGTATTACTTTAAAAAAAAAGAAGCTCTTTACTTTTGCAAAAGGGCCCCTAAATTTTCTCTTACATTTTCTCATCCAGTAACTTTCAACTCTAATAGTGGTTGTTTGCAGCCTTGTTGGAAGTGAAGATATTAAAAAAAAAGAAATTTGCAAATGGGCCTCCTAAATTTGCTGCCCCTCCCCCCAATTGCTAGGCTCCCCATACCCCAGCATTAGGGTGTGTGTTGGAGCCTAGCCATGGCTCTAGTGACGGGTGTCCTCAAGCATTCTCATTAATATTTAGGTCACGGGACCCAAATAGCCATGTCAAAGTTTAAAACTTTCACTGTTATTGAAATTGTTTACTATTGTAGCTATATGATCAGTAGAGAGAATAAGATCTGGTCTTTACTTTTTTCCATTAAAAATTGAATTTTTGATTTACTGTAATCCAAATCTAAACTACAACTTTCCATCTGGCACCATTGCTTTGCTACTGGTTCTTTACGCAAGTTGTAAAAATAATTCAATCTATCTAGCTATGAAGACTAATTCTTTTTTTTCATCAGAAAAAAAGTTCTCTTTTTTTAATCTTATGTTTGCAAAATTTAATAGATCATGTGTTCTGTTGTCAATGGTTGTTCTCACTGAAGTATTTTCACTGAAGTACATAAATAAGCTGTCTACTTTTGCAGCAATTTAAACAATCAATGTAGTTTCTAATTGCAATTCTCATCCAATGGTTTTTGCCATATAACTAATAGAATGACCCATTATATATATATATATATATATATATATATATATATATATATATATATATATATATATATATATATATATATATATATATATATATATATATTTGCAAAGTCAGAGATCACTATTTTCTAGGAATGTACTGGAATGGAAATTTTGAATTCTGGCCAGAACCAGATTTGCCAGAATGTTAATAAAATTCAGACCGGAACAAGAATTATATTAATGTAAATTTTTACCTTCAAGATTAAAAGTGAAAGCCTGTACCTCAGCATTGTGGCTATATATACATATATATATATATATATATATATATATATATATATATATATATATATATATATATATATATATATATATATATATATATATATATATATATATATTCATAACCTATAATATATAACCTATTTCATTAATATAATTCTTTTTTCATTGAAATTTAATATGTTGTTTTCATTAGTTTCTTATAATTTTATTTATTAAAAGTTTTAACTTGCATAAATTTTTATTTAAAATTATTTCTTTGTTTTCTATTTTTCCATTTAGGTTAAAATTGAAATATTTAATGTATTAAGCATCCTATATTTTTTAACTAATTGAAATTTAAGTTACTTTAAAAGAGCCAGGTAAAAAAGTTTGGTGAAAAAATTACTACCTTGTTGCCCCGAAATGTATAGCAACTCTTTTTGCATCACACTTTTCTTAATAAAAAATATGCTTAATAAAAAAATATAAATTAAATTTTTGAAAATTTTTTTGTTGTCATTGTGGTTATATATTATCATAAAGAAATTGACAAAATAAAAAAATAAAAACGCATAAAACAATTATTTTAAGCAATTGGTAAACACTAAGTACCAGCGAAGTTGACTTTTTAAGATACAAATTTAGATCATAGGCGTATACCAAATTTAACTGAAAGATGAATTTGGACTTCTAAACCAAATTTAATTGAAAGCCAAATTTGGATTTTAAAAATACATTTAATTAAAAAATAAATTTTTTAAAAATTTTTATGTTTTTAAAAAAAAACTTTTTGTTTTTTGCTTTAAATAATCCAAGAAGACTCAACGGTTTTTCCGCAGAGTATATCAGATAAGTAGTAAACTAGGAAGTTCAAACCTCCTTCTTTAATGATGGTGCAAAATATGCCCAGAGCTTGCTTCAAACCCTAGGTCTCTTGCTTCTAGAGCAAGTACTCTACCGTGTAATCGTGGCAACCAGTGGCAACTAAGCAACCACTAAGCAACTACTACTAAGCAACCACGATTGCTGTATAATCATTTTTTATAAACTGTTATTATTTTTTAATAATAACTTTATAGTTTTATTAAAAAATAATTTGTAATTAACCATAATTTAAAACATGACATAGAACAAGTGAAACCAAGTTTTAATTTATTAAAAAAATATACGATTACAAAAAACAATTTGTGTGAAAATAAAAAATCTAAAAATTCAGTAATAATGAAAATTTAACTTATGGAGTCTTTATAATTCTTAATGTTTTTGAACAAACATGAACAAAAAAACATTTACAACGTTTATTGAAAAATTTTGATTGTCAATTTTATAAAGGAAAAAAATCGTTAAGAATATTATGTTAAATATTCACCTGTTTTTTATCTTTAGGATTTTTTAAAACCGATAAATAAGATTTAATAAGTAATGAATAGACTTTGTGTCTAAAAAAAACTTTACAAAAATTGACTCTTGATAAGACAAATTTATTTCCAATATATTTTTTTTTTTTTACCAAACTCATGTTCCCAAGGTCGAGTGGGCCACTTTAGTTGAGGAAGCTACTTCTTATATTGGTTACAACCCTCTCTCAACTGTTTAACTCCGAATCACTTTTCGTAGTTAAAGAGGTGATAGAGGGTTGTAACCAATAGAAACAAATTGGTACACATAAAACATGTTATATATTTTATAATTCTTCTTCTTTATAAATTAAAAAAAACTTAATAGCTTTTGAATTTAAATGAAAGTAAAATTCGAAAGCTGAAATTTTGAAATTGTTACAGATTTTAACTGAAAGCTGAATTTCTATTTCAACTTCGGCACCGAAGTTAAAGCCGAAGTCAACTTCGCCTTTCAGTAAACTTTGTAATCCAAATTTTAACGAATATATTTGCCGGTCCTTAATAAACACAAAATTGTTCTTTACTTTTTAAAAAATTTTGTTAACCCTCTGTCAATGTAGCAGCAACACTTTTGCATGCCCTCCCTATATATGTATATGTACTAAACCCCACAGCTTCCTAAATCAGTATGATGTTAGATTATGGACCTAAATGTGCTTTTATATTTCTGTGTATATATATATATATATATATATATATATATATATATATATATATATATATATATATATATATATATATATATATATATATATAGATAGATAGATAGATAGATAGATAGATAGATAGATAGATAGATATAGATATATATATATATATATATATATATATATATATATATATATATATATATATATATATATATATATATATATATATATATATATATATATATAGATAGATATATATATATATATATATATAGATATAGATATAGCACTTGGAATAAGAGATGGCATTTGGCATTACCGACCTAACTGCAGACCTAAAAGTATTAAAGGTCATCAAAAAATTGCCAACCTCGTTTCTGTGTTTAATTGTAAAACCTTTGTATCAAGTTTTTATATACATATATATACACACAAAAATATTAAAGAATTGAGAAAGGATTGAAACAAAAGTTAAAAAAAAAAGAAAGAGTTGTACAGGGTGGCCACAGTTCCTCTAAAATCATCTAAAGTCCTCTTTTTTCAAAAACCTTCTCTAAAATATTCTATTATCCTCTAAAAAGTTAAAAATATCATAAAACGTCCTTTTTAACTCCTCTTTTTTATTATTTTTTATTTCTTGATGGTAGTATAATGTTCAAAATTCGTAGTATGCAAAACTGCATAACGTCTGAAATGAGAATTGGGTTGTAAAAAATCAATTTTAGCAAATCCATGTCATCTAACAAAAAATGACATTGTTGACCCCTGTCCACATCCCAGTTATGTGAAAACATAGGCGTTAAACCTTGAAAAAAAAATCCTTTAAATTCCTCTATTTTTGTTTAAAATTTTGTAGTTTTGCAAAAAAAGTTAAATGCTAAATCTCCTTCAAATATCTCTAAAATCCTCCTTTTCTTACAAAATATTTTCTTATATATATGTGGCCACCCTGTTGTACTACAATCTACTACAATCAATTATGCATTCAGTACATAATTGATTGTAGTAGACTTTTGATCTTTGAAATTTGATTTTAAAGTCATACTCAAAAATGAATCTGTTTTAACTGAAGCAATAATCTTTGCTTTGCAAATTGTCTAGTATTGTTCTCAAATTATGTTTTAAAAAAACAAATTAATGACCTTTGTCCTTGACCTTAGGAAAGTGAAATGTTTTTTTACAGAGTATGTTAATCATAAATGGCTTGTTATTTTTTATCATTGCTAGCATTTTGAGTTTTTATATTGATACCCATTATATTCCCATATTGTTTCCATATAATCAATTATATTGATTATATGGGAATCAAGAGTAATGATAAATATAACCACCAATAATATATTCTGTATTCAACTTATTTAGCTCAATCTTATTTGCAAATATTATGCTAATTTTAATTTTTACATATTTTTAATAAATGTGTTTTATATATTTGATAAATGTGTTTTTAGCAATTCATTGCTATGAATTCCAATGATACTGTTGAAAGTAACTTTTCTGATGCAGCCATAAGTTTTGTATCTCATCAAGTAGGTTTCTAACTATTTAGTATCTTATTGTTTGACCTTTTAGTTATTTATTATCTAGTCTATTGTTTTTTATTTCATTACATAAATTTTAAATTATCACAAATATTTATTGAAATAATAAAATATTTTATTACAAAATTAAATAAAAGCTATTATAATGTCTAAATTATTTTTTTGCTTCTCATGTTAATAAATATTAGATTGTAGAAATCGCAAAGACAGTTTTAAATATCTCAGAAGATCCTGAAAAAAATATCACTAGTGGTTTCTTTTATGGAATATCCGAGTCTCTTGATAAGTTACTCCAAGAGGTTGGTCTTGATTAATATGGTATTTTTAATTGTATCAGTTGTGTTTGATTATACTGTTGTGTTTTTAGATGCAGAGTTTCAACATAAGTTATTTGTTATCATTATTTGTTATTAGTTATTATTATTTGTTATTTGTTTTTAACCTACTAGGGCCTCTTTCTCACTCCCCACTCCCCACCCCCCATTTATTAGTATTATAATTTAAAATGATTTTGCATTTTTTTTACTGTAAGAAATAATTTTTTTTTCCTCAAAAGTATTTAAAAAAAACATTTTTTCTATCATAAATAAATAATAATGAAACCAACTAGAAATCGTTATTTTTTGTTTTAAAAAGAAAGATGATTTTTAAAGAAAAGTATTTTTTAAACGACACATTTCTCTTTAAAAAAAGAGAAGTGTTTTTGTTTAATGAGTTTTAAATGTTTAAATGGAATTCTTTTGTGAGATATGGTTCTAAAGCGTTCTTGATTTCTTTTAGTTCCTGTTAATTTTGTGCTGAGGTCAGTGAAATCTGTTCATAGAGAGAAGGATAAATAAAGTTTTTCCAAACTCCAACCCCAATAGTTGAGGTAATCTAAGTAAAATCCATTAATTTACACTGCCCTACCCCTCATTTGTTAAACTTTGACAATATATCTGACCCTTCCATTTATAAGTACTCTCTCCTCTTGTTTATAACCCTCTCCCTCCCCCCTTTTTTATTTTGCAAGTGAGAGTAAACGTGTTGCATTCTTTATGTAGTCTTGCTGACTCAATAAAGTGGTCATAACTTGTATAGAGCTTTATTGACATAATGTTGACTGATTTTTAATTTTGCACAATTATGTATTATAATCCTTTTATATTATTCATATTACAATATGTAATATGTTTTTTTAGTATTTTTTATAATTCATTGATCATAATCATGACATAGATTTTTTTTTAATGCAGCTTTTTTGTTTGTTTTAGAATTAGTATAATAACTAAATATATATTTTAAACTATTTATTTTTTACTTATTATTGTTTTAGGTTAAATACAAAACAAATAGTGCAGATATTGAGCATATTAACAAAATGGTACCTAGTCTATTAATGATTTTTTCACGTCCAGCACGACTTCTGGAATGTTTAGAGTTTGATCCAAGCAGTTTTTACACACAACTTGAATTAGAGCAAGTAGCTATTTCAGAACAACATGTAGACATAGACATGACTCAGTACATACGAAATAAGCTTGGCATTGTTGAAGTGAAACCTGAGGAAACTGAAAAAACTACTGTTCGTAAGGTTAGGATTTGGTTTAATTTCATTTTTAAATAAGAAATAAAAAAAAATAGATTGCAAATTTTTTTACTTTTTTACAACTTAGCATTCCATTTTACGAATGTAATTTAGCATTCTATAATTGCTGAACCTAAAGAAGAAGACTTCACGCTTATAAAAGTAATTAGCAATGGTGCATATGGGTTAGCAAACATTTATTTTAAAAGTTTTAAACTTTATTTTAACAACACGTGCACACACACATATACATATATATACATGCATATATATATATATATATATATATATATATATATATATGCACACATATTTACACACACACACACACACACACATATATATATATGATCAAAAAGATTCGACCATCCATTATTTATAACAAAAAACTGTTTTTGTACCATATAGCACTTGCATTTATTACTAGAAAACATTTTAATTCAAAAAACTAATACATGAACATAACAGAATAAAGACCTCACAGTATAAAACATGTTTTAGTACTCTATACAAGCTCCTCAAACTTTTAGAACACCATGCATATTTTTACAGCATTGAGGCAACAAGAAACACAATATTTGGGCTTTTTTTTATGACACCACGCTTTCATCATAGTTTTTCTCAGATATACTGGTGTGTTTCTCAGATATACTGGTGTGTTTCTCATATATACTGGTGTGTTTCTCAGGTATACTGGTGTGTTTCTCAGATATGCTGGTGTATTTCTCAGATATACTGGCGTGTTTCTTAGATATACTGGTGTGTTTCTCAGATATACTGGTGTGTTTCTCAGATATACTGGTGTATTTCTCAGATATACTGGTGTGTTTCTCAGATATACTGGTGTATTTCTCAGATATGCTGGTGTATTTCTCAGATATACTGGTGTGTTTCTCAGATATACTGGTGTATTTCTCAGATATACTGGTTTATTTCTCAGATATACTGGTGAATTTCTCAGATATACTGGTGTATTTCTGGTGTATTTATATTTTGTTGAAAAAAAAACTTATGCTTGAAACTTTTACGCTGTTGAAAAAGAAATTTTTACTTTTAATTTTATCTAACAGTTTTTAAATCAGGAGAATCGCCTAGCCATTTAGTAAAGAGTTGTTTGATGCAATCATAAATATTTTTTTAGAAAAAGCTAACTGTTGGCTTTATGTGCTGAGAGGTATCATGACACAGTTGTCGCATTTTCAAATGTGCAGCAATCATTTGTTTATACTTACCTTTTTCTAATTAGAGTGCTACTTGTGTACATTTAGTGTGTGATGTTGTAGCCATACTCTAACATAATAATGATTAAATTACACATGGTTTTAATGTATATAGAGCATAAAGGTGTTCTATTACCCAGACAATCTATTGGTCATGCATATTTATCAACTAATAGGGAGGTATGTTTCAAAATATGCCAGCAAGCATATTTTGTATATATGAGTAGTTATCTATAAAACTCTGGTCAGATCTTTTTAGCTATAACATATATATATATTTTTTTTTTTTATATATTTTCTATAAATATATTTTTATGATGTTTATTTTATATATACAAGCCTTTGCAGGAAGCGCGTGTGGTCGCAGGCCACATTTAAAGTAATTTTTTTAGACACACTGACTATGGCAGCTCGCATCTTTTAACTTATAAAGTGTTTAAATAATTCGCGGAAAGAAGCTAAACTTATCTACTGAGGAAAAAAAAAAACAATCTTTAAAAAAAGAAGCAAAGTTGTAATGAAATCAAGTTTTATGTAAATAAACTAGAAAATTTAATAACTAAAAAAAAAAAATTAAAAAAAAAAATTTTTTTCATAAATTTTTGTACAGCTTTTGTATTCTTATTTTAGAGTGGTTGCTGTTTTTTAGCTACCGAATTTGATACAAGTTGATGAAAAAAAACATCTTTTATAAAAATTTAACAACAATTGAAAGTTTTTATATGCAATTTAATCACGATTTTTATCAATTTGTATAATTAAGAAACTAATTTGCTAAGACGCTAGAACTATGAGAAATTTTGTTAGTTTATTATTCTTACATTTATTCATTTTGTTGTCTTTTTGCTTTTAAAAATGTTTTTGTTATATTTGTTGTTTTTTCTCGATACTTATATAATAGGAAAATAAGAAAATAAATTGTTATTTATTTGTAAAATATATTATTTGATTAATGAATTTTGTAATGACAAAATAAATAAAAAAATAACATGGTTTCTTTTATAAATGTATTTACCACATTTGATGCATGTCTGAAATTGTTTCTTTTATATTGCCCAATTTCCAAGAAATAAACTATCGGGTTTTAATGCACAATTTAGATAATCTAACCAAAGTGCAGACTATTTTAATGGGGATAGTAAAAACAACCAAATATTTTATATTTAAATATTGTTATTGATAAGTTTTTTTTAACATGAAAAACTTGTTTAAAATTTTTTTTTTACATTTAAATAGCAGTTAGCTTTCTCTCTTTCCTGTCCATTGATAAAAACAGTTAAGTTTAGCAAAATAATTTGAAAAACAAATTTTGTGGTCAATTTGTCTAAAAAAAATACATTAAGCATGGATGAAAAAGGCGTGCAACCGCACGCTCTTCCCGGGAAGGCTTGATATATATATATATATATATATATATATATATATATATATATATATATATATATATATATATATACATATATATGTATATATATATATATATATATATTATATATATATATATATATATATATATATATATATATAAATATATATATATATATATATGTATATATATGTATATATATATATATATATATATATATATATATATATATATATATATATATATATATATATGTATATATACCATATATATTTTATACAAATAATCTCATTCTTAAAATGTCTTCAATTTGTTTATAGTTATTTTTTAAAAGAATATTGTATATAATCATTTTTTTTAAAGTTCAGTTCATTTGGTTCGTCATAAAGCAACAAAGCAGCGCTTTGCTATGAAAAAAATGAGTAAACATCATCTCATGCATAAAAACCAGGTATTAGTTAATTCAATAAATGGTGTAGTTTGACAGTATGTTAAAAAAATTTGTAAAATTTTATTTTTATAATTTAAATAATTTAGGGAAAATAGTGCAAATTTTCTGATCAATCAAACATAAAAAACACATAAAATTAGTTAGAAACTGAAAAAATAGGAAACAGTTTTAGGTTACATACATGTTAATGGGAACATTCATCTAAACTTAACAGTTGTAGAATAATCTATCCTGTTTTAGTTACATGTTTAAATAAGTTGGTTTATAAATAAATTTGGTAATTATCAAGTTTTTAAACAATATCATTTTTTCTGAAAAATTTTATAACTGATTTCACTTGTATCTATTGATATTTTTGCAATTATCTATTGATATTTTTGCAATTATCTATTGATATTTTTGCAAGTTATTCATATTGGTTTTCTGCTTTAAAATAATTAGTTCTGTCTTAATTAATTCTGTCATATTTAATATTATTTCATAAAATAAATATTGTGACATTGATTTTATAAAATAAATATTGTGACATTGATTTTTATTATTATAATGAAGTAATAAGAAGTGTTATTTATTGTTAATTTCAAAATCTCAAGGTTCTTATATTTGATCTTATTATTGATCTTATTTTTGGTCTTTTAATAGTTATGACTATACTTTTAATAAATTATGACTATAATGATTTCTAATGAAATTAACTAGCTTTTAGTCTAACTTTTTTCCAGAAAAACAAGAGAAGTATTTTCCTTTCTAACAATATATTTTTTCCAGAAAAACAAGAGAAGTATTTTCCTTTCTAACAATATATTTTTTCCAGAAAAACAAGAGAAGTATTTTCCTTTCTAACAATATATTTTTTCCAGAAAAACAAGAGAAGTATTTTCCTTTCTAACAATATATTTTTTCCAGAAAAACAAGAGAAGTATTTTCCTTTCTAACAATATATTTTTTCCAGAAAAACAAGAGAAGTATTTTCCTTTCTAACAATATATTTTTTCCAGAAAAACAAGAGAAGTATTTTCCTTTCTAACAATATATTTTTTCCAGAAAAACAAGAGAAGTATTTTCCTTTCTAACAATATATTTTTTCCAGAAAAACAAGAGAAGTATTTTCCTTTCTAATAATATATTTTTATAATAACATTGTTGGTAGTCGGTAAACTGCGAACTGCAAACTGGTAAAATGCAAACTTTTTTGTGAACCAAGACATTATATTTTAATGATAACTACAATTATGATATTTTAAAAAACTTTTGCTTGTCAATTTTTTTTATTTTAATTAAATATAGTGTAAATTGATATATTTTATTTAAATTAGATCGTATTTCTTTTAAATTAAATATAATTTATGTTTCTGCTTGAAGACCATAAAATATATAGTAAAATAAACAGAAAATAAAAAATATTACATCATTAACAACCAATAGAACTATGGTTTGCAAAAAAGTTCGCATTTTACCGGTTTCCAGTTCGCATTTTACCAACTACCAACATACTCTAATATAAACAATAAAAATTTTATTTATATATATATTAGGGGTGCACCAATTCATCGACCATTTAACCGATGCATCTAAGTTATATGCCTATATAAGTATAAGTTTTATATAGGCATATATGCAACCACTAAACTAAAAATTTTTGAACTGCTTTTAACAGGGCTCCCTTCTTTTGAAGTGTTTTCTTTTAATTTATTAGAAATTTTTTATTAAATGATAATAAATTATAAAGAAAAAATTGCTTTAAACAAAGATTTTTTTGAAACTCTTTCAGTTATTCTTTACAATCAAAATGTTTTATTATATTTATATTAAAATTAAATAAAAAAGTTTATTACTAAATTAAAAACGTTTAATAAATAAACATTTAATATAAGTATTGTTTTATAATTTAATTTCGTAAAAATATTTACTAAAAACTTGCCAATTATTAGAAGTAATGACATCAAAACCTTCCATTCATTTTTTATAAAAAACGAAATCATTCTAATTTGAACAGAATGACAAAAGTAATTATTTATAAAACTAGCTTTTCAACTGAAGTAATTATTCTAATTATCAAGAGGACAATAAAAAAATAAATGGAAAATAAACTTTAACAGTAAAAATTTTAAAATATTGCTTTCATTATCACATGAATGGAATGTGGCATTTCCATTCAAGTGTATTTCCATCATATATCCAATTTCAGGGCTGATTGATTTGCATCAGCCTATACTCATCGGCATCGGCCAAAAGTAGGCATCTGTGCACCCCTAATATATATGCAGTGAACTCCTGATATCTCAAACCTTCAAGGGACTGAGAAAATAGTTAGAGTTAGCAAATGTTTGAGCTATCAGGGCTATTCTATAACATGACTTTTTAACAATAAGTGAAAAATTTTGAATTATCAAAAGTTTTGATCTCATTTTATTAATTTATTAAAATTAAATAAAAAAGTTTTCACTCTGTCCTAGTTTAGAAGAAGCGCCTCTATCTAATATAAATGAGACTGCATTAATCTTTTAATAAAAATAGTCACCACTGAAACTGAAGGGCATATAGTCACACAGCACTTGCAGTAAATCCCAAAATCACTTGTATTATCTTCTTTATATTCCTCATCATCAGCATTATGTTCATTCGTTGTATTTTTTACTTCTACTATTAACTCTTCATCAGTTTATGAATGTGCTCATTTAGTTTTCATCTGCAAAAATGACCTTTTTAGCTGTTGTACCTGGAGGCTAAAAACTATCAAGTTTTTCTATCTGATTATGAAGCTCTTTAAAGGCATTGTTGTGTTCATCTTAATGGGCAGGTTTCTGTTGATCATTTTTTATTGAGTCTTTGAATTGCTAAATTAAGATAAATTTTATTGTGCTTTTTATATATATATATATATATATATATATATATATATATATATATATATATATATATATATATATATATATATATATATATATACAACATAAATACAGTGTTTGAAGTGGAGAAAGAAAACTAACGGGTTGGTATTCTGTAAATTAAAATACCATCTCACCTAATCATTGTTATATATAGAGATTTATAAAAAGGTGGTGGGATGGTTTATACTATGTAAAAAGGTGGCTAGATAGCATCCTGCCACATCCTGCCTCACTTTGAGTACTGTATATATATATATATATATATATATATATATATATATATATATATATATATATATATATATATACTATAGCATATATAGATAAAAAAAATGTTACTAGTATTTCCTACCTATAAAAGCATATGACGTTTTCAGAAAAATTAGAAAAAATCTTAAAATAATGTAGCCACACTCTGTTGTGGCAGCAGGTAATAAGATAGTTGATGTATGTACTGAAGCCCCCAGCAGAAAGCTATTTTAGTGTAATGTCACCATGTCAACCTAATCATGCATTTATAATTTTATTAATGCATATGAAACTTTACCATATATAAAGAAATTTATTTTGCAATGACTTCCTAATGCAAAGACATTCTTATGTAATGAATTTTTTTCGAAAACATACTTAAAATGCTGAGAAGACCAAATATTATGCTTATTATATGCTTCATTTTTAACAAAATGTTAAAAAAGAAGCATACCTACTCTCATCTACCTAATTGTAGGTTGAAAAGTTTGATAAAGTAGATACAATAATAAAAATTCATAGATTGGTTTGTTGTAATTGTGAGGATGTTTGAGTTTGGGAAACACTTTAAGCACACTTCAATATCCTGTTTACACATGAGAACTAGAATATAAATGCTTCTACTGTATAGTATTTACTGTATTTTGTTTTTTACAGTGATGTATTTTCTTTATGGTTTTTCTGCAGTTTTTTCAAAAACAATAATTATTACTAAATATTTAAAAACAGTACTCAAAGTAAGCCAGAGTAGTTAAAGCTCATCTTGCTTATAAAGCAAGATGAGATCCAACTACCCCTTTTCTGGTAGTCATGTTATTATTCATATAAATTCAAATTGTTTTAACAATGGAATCTTTTATACAACAGTGGAGGTATAACGAATAAATAAAAAACAGTTAAAAAAAAATTTACTTGTACAGGGCTTAAAACGAACAATGAATAATATTTTTCATATTAATTCTCCAAATTGGAAATTTTATTTTAAAATCAGACTGAAGCAGAATAATATGTCTATAGTTTGCAGCTCTTGAAAGTTGAGGTAAAATAAAGAAATAGAGATATGTATGTGTATATATATATATATATATATATATATATATATATATATATATATATATCTGTGTGTATGTATGTATGCATGTATTTTGCACGCTATACACTTTTAATTACATAATATTGTAGGTATAATCTGGGTTTTTTTTAATTTTAGGCTTATTCATATAATTAAAAATGTAAATTATGTGTTTTGAATAGAAATGTTATTTTTCTTAACATATTTTTTATTGTATAATGGAATATTTTTTAATATTAAGTTTACAATTACAGGTTCAACAAATTTTCAATGAAAGAGATATAATGACATTTGCACAAAATCCATTTGTAGTCACCCTGGTGTGCACATTTGAAACAAAGGTAATAAAGGTTATTTATTATCTAAAGAGATCCCTGTCTTCTCTGATGAGTTGTGTAAGTATGCCTACATATCAGGGTTGGAGTCAAATATATTTGATTGAATAAAAATACAAATACAAATGCATTGATTCTAGATGTAAATAACAAATTCATATACAAATATATGCAATCAACATTTTCCAAATACAAATACAAATATTTATTCTTCAGGTTAAGAAAAAATATAAAGATTTATTCAAGACAAGACCGATAAAATGGTCTACATTAAAGAGTGAAAAAAAGTCTTCTAACAAATATTCTTTAAAAACAAATTTTTAATTTATTTTAGTGTTAAAAACAAAACAAATCAATGAACCTCTTGGTATTTTCTAAAAAAACACTGGTCAACATAGTTTATAGTTAAATATATTTCAATCAAATACAATATAAATACAAATACACCAAATTAGCCTAGTTTTACCAAATACAAATATGTATTTAACCCTAACACTGCTATATCATATTAAAAAAAAGAAGGCATTTCTCAGCCACTTAACCATCCGTTAAGATCATCCTCTGAGTGTGGCTTAGCCATAATTCATACAAAAATGACTTTGTTGCGTTAAAACTTGCAAACTTGTTTGAATACACTTACTTTTGTCAAATCCCTAGTATTGTTGGTTTAGTTTTCTTACTTGAATGTTAGTCATGTTTGAATTCAAAGAACTTGTTAGAATTTTAATGTTTAGTTTTCTGAAGGTCTGTTAAATTAACTAATAATATAAGTTCTTCTTCAGTCTACTCGCACAACCATGGATAGTTTTTCTTTACTTCATATGTTGCATTGTTTCCAGTTTTACTATTCATAAATAGAACAAAGCAGAATTTTTTTTAAGTTCTAATGCATTTTATACTGTGAACAAAGTTTTATTTTCAATATTTATTTTTGTTTTAAGTTATGACAAATACATACTAATAGTTATGAAATATATATAAACATATTTTATTCAGAAAATGAACAAAATCATGAATAATAAAAAAAACAATTTTTAATCATAACTAAAGCCTTTTATATAGCACTTGTACCAAAACCCCCCAATGTATGCACTGTAATAATAATAATAATTAAAAAAATATATTTTTGATTTTATTTTATGTTTATTAATTAGTTAGCATTAACGATAAAAAACTGCTCATGAAATATATAATCATAAAGTAAAAAAAAACTTAGTATAAACTGATGTATTAAGTATGACGTAT